AGGAGCTGGGGTGAGGATGGCACAAGACACTCAGGTCTCAAAGCTGGACTGCCGGCTTTCTAGCTGACAAGCCCAGCGTATTAACCGCCGAGCCACCATGCCGCCCAATATAACTGAATATTTAGATTAAATTCACGCTTTTCAAAAATCATTTTTATTTTGTTTTCCACTTATGTTCAACTAAATTGCATGTTATTTTGTTCCAAAACCGGGAACTCATTCTAAGCAGCTTCCCTTTATTCTCATTCTGAGCAGAGTTTAGCTCTTTTGCAATGTGACTCAGGAGCAGTAGGGAAATTGGATAAAGAATGTGGAGAGGGAAATGATGTATAGGAAGAAAAGAAAGTTGGGGAAAGGTTGGAAGAGGGCAGGTCACATGCATGTATCAGGTCTAACAGTAATTTGTGTGTGACAGGAAAGCAATCCTAGCAGAAGAACTATATTTAGGCGAGATCTCTGCTTTCCTGTTGTTCAAATCATTCTCCGCTCCATTTTCCTCTTTACATCAGAAGCTGGCAAGAAGATTGATGGAAACATATATAAAATATATTAAAAAGTCATTGATGGATCTAAGTATCATGCAGACAAATAATGCTACAGGGAAAATTTCTTAGCTGTGTAGAAGACTGACATAAATCAATGTTAATTTTTTGAGATCAGAAAAATCAGCAGGTCCACTTCTTTAAGGGTTTTCATTCTGGAAGGCAGCAAGTGGAAAGAGAATTTGATACACAGGATTTGGAGGGGGTGGCTGTGATATTCTTTCAGCTATAAGTAGTCCTCGACTTACAAGCACAACTGAGCCCAAAATTCCTGTTGCTAAGTGAGATGGTTGTTAAGTGTATTTTGCCCCATTTTAAGACATTTCTTGCCACATTTGTTAAGTGAATCACTGCAGTTGTTAAGTTAACAATACAGATTAGGTGAATCCGGCTTCCCCATTGACATTGCTTGTCAGAAGGTGGCAAAAAGTGATCACATGACCCCAGGACACGGCAACCGTCATAAGTATGAGTCAGTTGCCATCTGAATTTTGATATGCTGCAATGGCGATGCTGCAATGATCATAAGTGTGAAAAATAGTCATCAGTCACTTTTTCAGTGTCGTTGTAACTTTGAACAGTCACTAAATGAATTGTTGTAAGTTGAGGACTACCTGTAGTTGACTGCCAGGATGCTACTTGTATAACAAGATATTGATCTCCAAAATGAATACTTAAAATGGCTGGAAAGAGAAATGATTCGATACTGTTATTTTTCTTTAGGTCTACAATTTACAGGTCAACTTTCGCTAGAGGCTAGGAATTCTAGAAGTGGCCATCCAATGTATGTGGACACAAGCAAATGCAGAGGAAACAAGGGGGTGAATGATAGCACATGTCTAATGATACAGTCCACCAAATGTCAAAATGTATATGCATTTGTGTTGGTTTACTTGTTTATTTATTAAAAATTATTTATTAAATTTATATGCTGCCCCTCTCACAGATAAAATGACTTGATCCAAGTACATAATTATGGGATTTGCAAAATTATATTAGTAGACTCAAGTAATCTTTTAAGCATTGTTGTAGTTTGCTGCAGATGTCACCGAATGTGGAAGCCACCCAACTGGAAAAAGTATTGTCCCAAAGTGTCCTCCCCAAATTTCTAGCTGGCATGCTGCTGATCACCATTCTGTTCTCAATCATCCCTTGTCCTGACTAATGCCTAAATATTACCTCCTTTTCAGGTTTAATGAAAGACTCACCCAGTACTTTTATAACATCCCTCTATATTTCAATGTTCAGAATGGTGGCATCTTGTATCCCTTAGGCATGGAAGGTGCTGGCATGCTAGGAGCATTTACCTAACTCAGGGGTAGGCAACCTTGGCTCTTTTATGACTCGTGGACTTCAGCTCCCAGAATTCCTGAGCCAGCTAAGCTGCAGTTGGCAAATAAAAATACAAAATGGAAGGGGACATGTTGCACACGTTAACATGACTTTAATTTTTTCTTTGGCAAACCTAGACAGCATATTAAAAAGCAGAGACATCACCTTGCTGACAAAGGTCCGTATAGTGAAAAATATGGTTTTCATAGTATGCATGGCTGTGAGAGTTGGACCATAAGGAAAGATGAGCACCAAAGAATTGATGCTTTCAAATTGCGATGTTGGAGAAGACTCTTGAGAGTCCCTTGGACTGTAAGGGAATCACATCAGTCAATCATAAAGGAAATCCTGACTGTGTTTTGGAAGGACAGATACTGAAACTCAAATATTTTGGCCACCAAATGAGAAGAAAGGACTCATTGGAAAAGTTCTTGATGTTGGGAAAGATGGAAAGCAAAATGAGAAGGGGGCAGCAGAGGATGATATTGTTAGATATTGTCATAGATGCAATGAACATGAATTTGGTCAAACTCATGGAGACATTGGAGGGCAGAGGGGGTCTAGTGTGCTATGGTCCATGGGGTCACAAAGAGTCGGACATGACTTAGCAACTGAACAACAGCAATTTTTTATTTTCTTCTGTTGTGAAGGAATGATATTTTTAGGGCTAGTATCTTAATATAGGGAAAAACAGTCCAATGCTTTTTGATAATTTATACACAAGGGCCTCCAGTATCCAGAAAAAGGATTCACTGGCATAGTTTGCTCACTTCTGATTTAAAATCATGGATAAGATCATTTTGGCTAGAGTCAAAGATACATTTCTCACCGACAACTTTCTGGATTTGATGCAGTATTTCTTACATTGTCTAGAGATGTGTGTGTGTGTGTGATTGATGTATAATCTATTTAAAATTTCCGTACAATCAGATCACTGTCTCCAGTTATATTTTTCAAAAAGCAAGAAACAAAAAGAAAACTAAGATAAAGTTCTGCTTCTTAGAGGTCCTTTGTTAGACACGTTAAATATGTGGCTGTTTTGAAGTGTCTTCATCTATAACACTATTACTCTAGCCTTCCCATTAAAAATCATACACATTTCTGATAATATATGTCACAAGATATAACAAAAATCATGCCTCTCTCTTAAGACATTCAAAATAAATACAAGACCCAACGGTGTTCTATAAATACATTTAGAATAGACTTGCTCAGTGAAGATGTCCCAATGAAAGAACTGTTTAAAAATTCAAAGTTTATTTCTGAACAAAATAGGATACCATATGATGTTTTGAGTATAACTTCCATAAATTCCAAATCCACGCTAATGTTCAGGGAATGTTAAAGTTGTATTCCAGATAACTTGGAGGGCAGCAGTTGCCTGCCTCTCCTAAAATATGCTTAATGTGCAAAATTTCTAATAGTTATATTAGATGGTAGTTGGATCAAAATCACATAGTGCTTGTATAAGTTACACTTTGTTTTTAAAGATTGTTCATAGTGTTGGGAATCTTTATTAAAGTATTTTGAATACTGTTTGTTTTTTATTTGTACTTTATAGGCTGCCTTGCTTATTTTTTAAAAATCAATTAAAAAACCCCAATACCTTTCCTTCTATCTCAAGAAGAACTCTGAAGTGAAAGAAATCATACCAACCTAATCTGTTTAAATCACTTTGTATCATTTTATGAAGCCATGACAGAAATAGAGCATATTGGTGTCTCAATGTGCATTAACCTTAAAACAGTAGGATGTACAACTATTCCTTTTCAGAAATTGCTGGATATCTTACTGACTTGTTATGGAATGGTGCAGCTTGGAGTGGCAAGTTATGATCTAATTTCAAGGTTCAAATTTAGGATTCAATACTTCAATTGGTTTGAGGAAATGAGATGCATTTGTTTGGTAGGTCCTAGGCTGAGAGACCTTACAGCTTCTTCCACTTTGCTTTCTCATTACTTGCTTGCTCAATCTCTCTCCTCCCTCCCCCATCACTCTGCTTATAGAAAACAGAGAACACTCAGTCCAATATGAGGAAACATGGAGAGAGAGAGAGAGAGAGAGAGAGAGAGAGAGAGATAGATTGTGGCAAAGGAATCAATCAAAAAGAGTTGAGCATTTATTGAAACCAGTTCTACTCCACCCTCCTTCTCTTGCCCCTCCCTGAGTCTTTTTCAGAGTTGACCATTTGTGGAACAGGAAACGTCAGAGCACAAAGCTGCTCTGGGCCCC